AGTATCTAACCTATATATAGATGTAAGTATCAGTCACGTACATTACAATAATATTCATCTACAGTAATTTTAGATTTAAAAGACTATAGACAATATACTGCATTAATAGTGTACAACATTGGTGTTACTAAAATTAGAATAACATTGACACTACTGTTCTAAATATAGTAACACTGACTGTACCCTTACCTCACTGATACTAGCAGCTCCTGGTGGGTCAGTGTAGCCGAGGGAACACTGGGAGAGGATGAAAGGTACCTGCAGTATAATCTCGTTCCCTTCAATCTGTGAGTCTGATACGATATTAATGTAACCTTTAGTCCCAGGGAGACCCACTAGAGCTAGGCCTGATAGAGCTCGGTTTGGAGTAAAATACACTCTAAATAATAATAATAATAATAAATAATAATAATAATAATAATAATAATAATAATAATAATAATAATAATAATGTTAATAATAATAATAATAATAAATAATAATAATAATAATAATAATAATAATAATAATAATAATAATAATAATGTTAATAATAATAATAATAATAAATAATAATGTTAATAATAATAATAATAATAAATAATAATAATAATAATATAAAAATACATTTGCTATTAATTAATTCATGCACAATTGCATTCAAGCAACATGCAATAGTGTTACTATATATATATATATATACATATAGTGCGGTGTTACTATTTATAGTGACATCATTAATGTGTTACTATTTATAGTAGCGTTACTATTTACAGTATACCTGTCAGTGTATGAGTACTGTATCCCGTTGAGTTGTAATAGTACTGGAGGAGGTTTACCCAGTTCATGATCAATTTGGATATATATGGTACTCGTGATATAGTTCAATAACTGGTCGGACAATTGAACCGTAATATCAAATATTTCTCCAGGAGCAGGGCTAAGAGTTAAAGAACCTATAAATAGAGAAAAAGAATAAAAATATAATAATAATAATAATACTTGGTGAAGGTTCGACACAGCTTAGTCTCTGGGGTCCTGGCTCCATGTTCCAGGTGAGTGGACTGATGCTGGCCCATGGAAGGGTTAGTTTATCTATTGTTGGGTGGAGCCCACCTCCAGGTCCTTGGTATGGGACAAAGTCAAAGCTGATCATCCTGTCTATGCCACACCTTAACTGGGGGAGGTTATTGAAACTAAACAAGAATAAATAAATAAATAAATGAACAAATAAATAAAATATAAGTATTATTACTATTGCTGTATAGCAAGAAAAGTTGACGGGACATTAATTTGGCAGATAATTCTGTGAAAAATTTATCAACAAAAAATCAGGCAATTTTGCTCAACTCTTAACATGCTCAAAAATGCAAAATTTTTAGTAAAAAAACTACTAGTAATTTTTTGATATTCTGCCAATTAAAGTGTAAATTACTTTTTAGTCAATAACTCGTTTGAGCAGTTTGGTAAAAGGAACACCACACCCCCCACAGTCTTGTAACATTTACTGGAGGAACCATAAAAGAAGAGGTAACTCGGACCAGTGGAGGTTGTTAAAAGGGGTGTGTCTGTTTCTATGACGATGGGGTTGAACGGGACAGAGGGAACAAAATCCTGTAGAAATGGAGGGAAGAAGTAGCCCTGCTGACAGGAGCGGAGGTTGTAGATGTGGAAATCATTTCCTGACGTGCTGCTGGAGGCAGAGTTGTTACTGAAATATAATAATGACTGGGAGAAAGAGAGAGTGAGATGGAAGGGTCAAAAGTAAAACAATTAAAAGCATTGTTCACAATACTAGCTGACATTGCAACCAGACAGCGATGCCATAACACATCAAATACATGTATATGTAAAATGGAAGATTAGAAGACAGCTTTTCTTATACATGTACATGTACATTTATTCCATCATTCCATTACAGAACACTTCTGGTACCAACTTTAAGTACTGTAAACCTGGCTTTACACATACAAGACTTACTTGTCCACCAAAATTATGAGGGAACCTGATAAAGCAGGCACCATTGGCTCCTGTCCCCAGGGTGTGGTTGTATACATCAGCAGTTACTGTAGTACTTGATTCATCAGCGTACACTGCACCACCTGCAAACCGAGCCTCATTGTTCCTGAAATACATGTTAGTAACACCTTCTAGATCAACCTTGAGAGAAAGGAGGGATGAGTTATTAAACAGCAGTAGTTATTAAGGAAGAGTATAGTACAGGGTGTTTTAAAGTAGCTTTTAAAATTTGTAAAAAATCCAATTTTGATTGGAATGAGCTCAAACTTTCTACGCAACATAAGTACATGTATACGCATCAGAAAATGTAATGAAAATGGAGAATTCTCTACTTTTTAATTTTGGCGAAAGTCCTTTTGGAGCAACTTTTAAAAAACCCAATTAAAGCACAACTATTAAAACAACGATCAACTTACGACACTTTGAAATAATATCTTTAAAGCTCCTCCTGACTCTGCCTTGTTATGATCAAACGTGTAGTTGCCACTAGCTACCAGAACTGATGAACGAAGGGCAATAGCACTGCCATTGTTACCAATAAAAGAACTAAAAAATAAATAAAATTAAATATTTTATAAAATACGTAACTCACTTGTTTCCATTAATATCAATATTCCCATTCAACACATTAATGACACCATCGTTAATATTAGTATCACACTCACTAAAGTGTACAGTGTTTATAGACACACTCATTAATGGAGGACGAACACGATTAGTAATATAAGGATTAGTGAACCAGTTGGGGTCGTTAAACACAAATAAACCAGCTCCATAAGTAGCAGCTGTATTAATGAAAGCACAACCCTCCACTGATATCCTGTTACTAGAGTCAGGGACGATGGACGCCACGAAAATCCCGCCTCCTTCAAAAGTCGCTCTCGTTCTTGTAAAAACCGAGTTTCTAATAATCACGTGATTGTCATGTGACTGGTATAAGTAGTATACAGCGATACCGCCCCCGTACCTGGCAGTGTTGTCAATAAACTGATTATCAGTAAATGTGATCGTGTTATTAGCCGTGTTACCAGAGTGACGGACAGAAACAATGCTACCAGCTGGACTGCTAATAGTTTGAAAGGAATTCCCACTAAAATTAATGACATTGTCATTTCCTCCTTCTCTTAACTGTACTAGAACCGCCTGAGATACTGAACTAGACCCGACGTAACTATTATCAGTAGGTGGAATCTCACTACGACTATTGCTAGTTAATCTCATGAACGAACAGTTCTTGACTGACAGGTTTAACCGGTTTAGAACCGGCACATCTCCTGGTACCCCTCCATTAGTCTCGTGTCCTTGGTCTATTAGTAAAGCAGCTGCTGGTTGAAAACCGAGACTCACCAAGACATCATTGCCATGAAAAGAGACACCAGATATACTAATGCTATCATACGAATTGTGTAGCAATATACCATTAGATTGGGTGCCATATATAGGGAGAAGAACACTAGAAATGGTAACGTCACTCGTGTTAGTGATATAAATAGTAGCACGACCAACAATGGAGACTGTGAAATCAATGTTAGTTATAGAGACGTTACGAGAGTTCTTTATATTGAGTATCCCTCTTTGGTTGCCACCTAAATCACTATCAACGACACCCTGACCATTGTAACCGGTTATGTTAAGATGGGACCATCCACTGAAGCAAATTGGAAGCATAAAAACTCTATCTACGACGATAAAAGTAGTCGGTTGATCCTCAAGGCCGTTATAACAAGGCCCTCCTCCATCGATATCTTCAGTGCTAGTAGTGATATTGTTCAGGATCAGTTGGATTGAAGAGCATGGACTTATGCTGGAGCTACCACAAATTGATAAGTCACTGGAGCCATTAGAAGATACATACCAGACTGTGTTTGGCTGGGCAAGAGAGAGAGAGGGCAAAAAGAAGAGGAGAAACAGAGACAGGGTTGCTCCTACTGCTCCCTTCATGACTGGATGAGTGTTAATGATGAAGAGCTAAGCTGTGCTGAGGTAATTTCCTGCTTAGCAGTTTGGATATAATTGAATACAATGACATTCTTAACTTGATTATCACAACAGTCACTACTAGAACTGCAATATCATGATCCTTTATACATGTACATGCATCCCAAATACATCCATACATACATTATGTAATACCGTACAGCTGGTTAATTTTGCGGAGAAAAATTTTGCGAATCCTTAAAAATAACCTGGTTTGCGGATTAAATATTTGCGGTTTTGACAGTTATTGTAGCATTATCTACTGTGGTCATGCATGAATTTCATTATTTTGCGGATTTAAATTTTGCGCTTTAAATGGAATCGCAAACTCGCAAAATTTAATTCCCCGCAAATATTTCCAGCTATACGGTAGTCATAATTACGTACATCTCCATCTTTACTGTGCTGTTACATATTGACATTTAAAAGAAAAGTATGATGAAGCTAGTTAAAACATGTACATATATAGGCTATCAAGCCCCGCCTGCTTCAATTAATAAAAAATAATAATTAAACAGTTTGCAAATATGAAAGTAAAGTACGTGATGTTTCATGGATGAAAGAATTTTATAATTATCATATTTACAAAAAGTACATGTAGGAAAACAATAACAATAACATCAGTACATGTAGTCACATGATCGTCACATGACATCGGTCGACTGTCTCTCCCATAGTTTGAATGTCCTGTCAAAAGAGCCTGTAGCAATGTACTGCTGGTCTATGATCATACGGAGATCATGTGACTGTCATGTGACAGGTAGTACTGGAGCTTACCTGGAGATAAGTCCACACACATCACCTTGCTCTCATGGCCGGCGAGGGTTTGTAATGGAGTCCAACCTGGGTGACCCCAAATCTGTTAATAATAATTAAAAATAAGGTTAAAATGATAAAAATAAACAAATTTTGATTGCATGAATTTTTTTTGCTTGACTGAATTCATTCCACCAAATTCTACTTTCCTTCTCCTCTCTCTCTCTCTCTCTCTCTCTCTCTCTCTCTCTCTCTCTCTCTCTCTCTCTCCCTCCCTCCCTCCCTCCCTCCCTCTCTCTCCCTCCCTCCCTCCCTCCCTCTCTCTCTCTCTCTCTCTCTCTCTCTCTCTCTCTTCCTCACTTTTGCTGTGTTATCATAAGACGAAGACACAAAGAAGTCTCCTCTATTTCCTACAAAAATAAATAAGATTATCACTCAAAAATACAATGGACACTCACTCTCAAATTTGAGCTTTGAGACCAGATTAGTGTGGGCGGGCAGTTGGTAAATGCATCTTCTTCGTCTTAACTCCCAAACCCGAACACTATGATCATCAGAACCAGTGATAAAGTGATACCTAATAATAATAATAATAATAATTAATTAATTTAATGTACAGACTAGCCTCTATATAATGGACACTTTGGTAGTGTCTCTGTTATACAGAGGTGTCCTTTATGTGGAGGTTATTTTATACAGTAAGGAATGTAATTGGTACACTAGGTGCTGTCCGTTAAATGGAGGTGTACGCTATAGAGAGTGTCCATTAAGAGAGGCTATACTGTATATTATAATATTTTGTAGTATGGTGCATGGGCGGATCAAAGGCACCGCCAGTGCTACAACTTCCAATAACCGCACGGTAGGAAAATGTAGCACTGTGTGGAATATATAGTACTGCACAGTATAATATGTATGGGCTTTCCTGTTAACCACAAGCTTTGATAGAGGCAAATAACAGCCTCAGCTACATACACTAGACATGTAACAATAATAATAGTGATAAATGAGATCTGATCATCTTGCACTGGCGACCAGCGTGACTTTTTGATCCGCCCACGCACCACTACAAACCAATCAAAGCACTGTTGATTCGTAGATTATGGAAATTATTGCACTCGGGACGGTCTTGAGGAAAATGTAGTAGTTGGCTTCGCCTCGTGCTACATTTTCCTCTGACTGCCCCTCGTGCAATAATTTCCGTAACCTACTCTCAACAGTGCTTTAACTAATACATTAATATTCATTGATACTAGTTTAATGTATTAATATTAAAGGTACTCCTCCACAAAGAAGTGTATCTGAGACTGGAAGCACTGGCTCTCCACAGGAAGCTAAAGGTATGTTGTTAAACTGTACATTCAAGTATTTTTCATTAATTTCATGTCCAGAAATTTTTGGACACGGAGGAATAAACGGAGGTAAAATACTCCGTATACTATGTCAAGATGGCGCATGCCATGATAGGCATAAGTGTTGTCAAGGCTATTTTCAACTTTCTGATACTTCTTACAAATAAAGCATACCTTTATAATTAATTGTTTACATGTTTTTTTTTATTTATTTTATTTTCTTTACCCGTTAGGTGAGAAGTCAACAGAGAGGACATTATTCAAGTGTCCCTGTAACACCATTAGACACTTCCCTGACCTCAGGTCCCATATACGAGCACAGGAGTCCATACCACTAGTACCCACTAGTCCTCCATCAGTGTGGAACTGAATGTCATAGACTGACCTTGAATGACCCTCCTATTAATGATACATGCAGTCATGTATAATAAATAATAATAATAATAATAATAATAATATTGATAGATCTAAAGTGTAGAAATAGATTTTAGGAGACTAATCTAACTAAAAATAGGAGACTGAAGGAGGCCTAGGGCTAAATATGAGAGACCAAGAGTCTCCTAAACTCCCTCTAGATCTAAGGCTTGGTACACAATATCAGCCTTGCGACCGGAAGTGCTGTACAAACCAATGGCACGCACGTCAATAACGCAAGAGGCGAACTTTGGTCAACTCATGCGTTAACTTGCAGCGCTTGTATAGCACTTCCGGTGCTCTTCCTGTCACAACACAGGATATTGTGTACTAGGCCTAACAGTGGACATGATGATATTAATACCTGGTGTAATATTTCAGTGTTATATTCTAAATCAATTAATCTCCATGATTTATCATAACTAAACAACAACAACAACAACAACAACAATAATAATAATA